TTCCTGTTGGCAGCTGCACCTGTGGAGGTAAAAACAAAAAATAAAAATCAGGCTGTAGAAATAAATCTGGTCAATAGAACTGAACTCCAACAGGATTACAAGGTTTGAAGGTTTGTCTGTTTGGTGTATTTTAAAAGAAGAATGGAAAATAAAACAACAGTAAAACTTTATTTTATTATAAAAATATTCTAAGATATTCAAAAATATTATATATTATATTATTGTTATTTCAGGGAAAGAAAAAGAATTCATGGAAAGGTGGATGAATGGATGGAGCAAGAGAAGGTGGGAAGGATGGATGGTTGGATGAATGATGGATGGTTGGATGGATGATGGATGGATGATGGATAGATGGATGATGGATGGATGTCCAGAGACTGTGACTCAGGTCTTGCAGCTAATTGACAGTTCCCCATATATTTAAACCTACATCTCTCTCTCTCTCTCTCTCTCTCTCTCTGTGATCGCTCCGTTGAGTCTGTTCTAACTCAGAAACCTCACATCGACTCCCGGCTCTCGTCTGTGCAGTAATATTTCAAAGGGGAATGACAAATAAACAGACACTTTAACAAATGACACGGAGGAGTCACGTTAATGTGAAGCCAGCGAGTCATGTGACAGGGCCGCACGCCTCACTAATCAGCGCTGTAACCCAACCGTCACTGTTTAACCCCCACCTGCGCTCCGCCCTCGACCGCTGTCCAATCAGCCGCATATTCACCGTGGTTATTCTCACTGCCTTATTTACGCCGTGCCACTCCATTTGTCCAATTAACTGACGGCGTTTCAGCGTCTCTGTCGACCTTTTGCGCTCCTTATTGTCGGCTCCACTGATCCTCTCCAGACGAGCGACACTTTAAACCATTTAAAAAGCTCTCTCAACAGTCTCTAAACATCATATTCTGTCCATTTCTCAGTGTTTCTTTTGCCCCTCCCAGCCGGCCCCTCAGACCAAGGTCACTTTGAAAAAAAAAGAGAAAAAAAAAAACGGCAGATCCTATAAAATTTAGGATAAGACCAAAAAAAAAAAATTTTTTTTCTCGACAAATCGTCACACGATCGTCAGCCTCTGTGTTTGAAGATACATAGTGATGTAAGGGGGC